TGAAAAAGTTTAATTGTTTTAAAAAGATTCCTAAGATATACTTAGTATTTGAAGAAATGTCTAGAATTACTACTTTAGTTCTTTAATTTTTTTTGGTTAAAACAATGAGCGTATTATTGATACTTTTTATACAGTATTTCAAAAATATTGCATATAATTTACAATATTAATCTCAGAATGCTATTTATTGATACTTTTTTTACCTTTAAGGTTTTAAATTTATTGTTATACAAATATCAACATTTTTTTGTGCACAAAATGTGAACCCACTCCCCGAAAATCTTGGGTCCGCCACTGACCATATTGTTTGGACATATAAACTAATTAATACAGTGCATTCATTCACAAACTATAAGTGAAAACATATATTCAAATTGTTCGTATTGTAAGATGCGATGGGTAAATGATTAAGTAGATATAATGTGTGGGTAGTGTAAAAATAATTATTAGTGAGGATAAAAATACTTTTTTTATTAATAAAATTGAGAAAGATATTTTGGACAAGAAAAAAAGAAAAGAAAAAGACTTTTAGAATAGAGGAATAATATAATTCTAAAATATTTCATATGTATCTCTTACAGTTATGGTGTTTAATTCACTTATGGTGTTTAACAAAAGTTTAAAAACAAAAAAAAATGAGGGACCATGTATAACACCGTGTTTGGTTGCGTTTCGTTTTTCTACGTCACAGTCAGTGATGGTTTCATTTGGAATGCCAGGTGTGAAGGTGAATGAATAGAAGCAACCAAACATATACTCCGTACTCCGTATAAATTCATTTGTCCCAAGCGAAGCGTCCCATTAGAATTACTCCGTATTTCCTCAATTGCATAACACGGAAAACTAGAGAAATAACGTACGGAGTATTTCCTATCATAAGAAGAAAATATAACTATGTAAAAATAAAGATATTAAGAGTCAAAATACTATTCCCTTCGTCTATTAAAGTTTTTCTCTTATTGATTTTTTGAAAATTTAAGAAAGATATTTTTGTGTTGATTTTGTAAAAATACCCTGCATATGATGGGTAAAAGTATGAACCAATATATACGAGTAGGTTATTAGTAAAAATGTATGATTTGGTAGGTAAAGTAAAAATTGGTACTCCCTCCGTCCCGCTTTGTTTGTCCACATTTGATTTTTGGAACTGTTTATCTAAGTACTTTGACTCATCAAATTCTCTTCATGTGTAAGCCTAAATATAGTCTATGTGTAATCTTGTTTGATTTGTTTTAACATATAGATTATTAATATATAATTTCTATAATTTTTTAATATACAAATTACAAGATAAAATGGATTAAAGAAGTGTATTTGATGGTGTGCAAAAATGAAAGTGGACAAATATAGTGGGACGGAGGAAGTATTAGTTAAATCTTTTTCCCATATAGATTTCTATAAAGTTGAAATGTAAATAATTGTAAATATTATTTATGAGAGGGTGCCAATAAAATACTTTTCCGTCCAAAAATGAATTACCTGTTTCGATCAACGTGTAAGATTTGATCTCGAAGTTTTTAAAATGATTTTTTTACCAATAATATTGAAATAAAAATAGAAATTATGTAGTTAAAAACTACCTGCAGTATATCATAAGCTCTACAAAATAAACTACAAGAATATTTTATCAAATAATCAATAAATAAAAATTATTGAAAATTCATAAATCATAATAATAAAAAGAGGTAATCCGGATCGAGTAGTATCTTATTTGTTGTTTGGTGTCGGAGAAAAAATCATTCAACAATTTTCTACAGCTCCCATTGTTGTGACAATTCCAGCTTTCACGTGAGTGTAGTTTATTCAAACAACAAAATTAAATCACATACTCAAACCTATTAAAACTTCAAGTATGGCTATTAGTTTGTTAATCAGTAACATTTACTTTAGATTAAAGTGTAAATTTGCACTGAATAGGACTAAAACATAAGTCATTATATATTACCATTATTAGTACAGTAACTCCTATTTTTTGAATAAAAAATATGGCCGGATTTCTTATTTTATTACTTTCTCTATTATTATTTCTACTTTAGTATTTTTTTCTATGTATCATTTTGAGGAATTTTGATTGGAAGATGACTACAAGTGGCCATGTTTACAAATTACGGAGTACCATTAAAATGGGAATCCAAATTGAATCTAATAGATTACTTAGTTCAACTCGAGAATTTAACACTTTCAAAAAGAATTTTATGCTTTTTTCACTTCCCATTTTTAGACAATAATATACTTGGTATTAGTCTTATAAGTTTTATCATTAAAATAAATTATTGACTTCAAAATTTTTACATTTTACTATTAAATAATTTTTCTCTCTTTTCTAAATTAGTAAAATTAAGTTGTAAATTTCTTTTTGAGACAAAGTATTGTTATCCATTCCTTTATAGCTTCATGGGTGAGTTTGGAAATAATTTTCACATTTAGCATTAACATTTTAAAAATGATATTTAATTGCATCACTTATTACTTGTAGTGTTTTTAAAATTAATTTATTCAATTAAAATTTTATTAAAAAACTATTACTAATTGAAAACATTAAAATGCTAGCTTAACAAACAACATTGACACAAGCTACACAAATTGTTTTCATCTGTATATTTAAATTTTTATTTTTTAATTACCAAAATCTACCTCTTTGCATGAATTTCATCTAGAAGCTCAAGGAGTATCTCACGTGCGGTGCACGTGAGAATAGTCGTTGATATTGTTCACACGAGTCAAAGGTCGGCAGTATAAAATACATGCAAGGCCGGCTTTTAGGATTTTGGACGAATTTAAGAATAGGTTATTAGGTTTATACTCTTGATAACATGGAGCCATATAAAAAAAAATATGAAATCATAGGCCACACACTAAATGACATATGACAATTCTTTTGCTAAGGTGACCTAAGCTTGTGTTTGAATGAGGTGAAATTGAATGAAAAGAAAACTATAGGAGAGAAAACACAATTCCCAAAAAAAATTCACTTGTTTGTTTGTAAGAGAAAATGGGGAGGGAGTGGAAAATGACTGATGGGGGAAACAAAAAAGTTCTCCCCTCAAGAGGTGAGAAAATCTTCCAATGGAGAGAAAACTCAACAAATGACATTTTTGTCCTTCATTGCATTCCATTGTGAAAAGTTATAATAAGGGTAAAAGTATCTTTTTGCTTTATTACATTTTCTTTTCTCTTACTTTTTCTCTTCATTTTTTACTCATCCAAACAACATTCACTTTCTTTATATTTTCTCTCCATTTTCTCTTCTCTCTATTTTCTTTCCACCTATTTTCTCTCCTTTTATATTCTCTTTTTATCCAAACAATGCATAAATGACAATGCAAGAATTATCAAATCTCTAAAACGTAAATTATGAAATCATAGGGCGCAAACTAACACTATGTTTGGTTCAAGTAATTTGAAAAAGAAAAGAAAAGAAAATGAACTGGAAAACAGTTTTTCATGTTTGGTTAGAGAGGAAAGTGGAAGGAAAAGAAAATGAGAAGATAAATGTACTAAGTGGAGTGAAAATCAAATTCCTCCCATTTTGATGAGAAAAATGAGAGAAAATCATTTTCTTTTCTTTTCCTTCCAAAATCTTTGAACCAAACATAGTGTAAGAATTCTAACTATGCGACTTAAGAACAACTAGTGCGCGTTAGCTTACATCTAATTTGACACTACATATATGGTCAATCCTCATACTTTCTCTGTTGCATATTTTTTTTAGTTCCACTTGAGACGACATTAAATAAAGTTAATAATTTGTAGTTGTGATTTGTATTAAGGTAAAAAAAATGCTACGAATAACGAAGTAAAAATTTATTTTCTTAAGAGACAAAAGAAGAAAGTTTTGCAACTCAAATAATTAAGAAAATAGTTATGAGATGGAGAGAGTAATTAAGAAATGGAAAGAATTATTATTATTACAAACAATTATTATATGTGTATGGGTGGAAGGCACAATAACATATTCCATAGTATAGTACGGATTATACGTTAAACCCAAAAGGAGTGTATGTTAAAATAAAACGACTTGGTTCCGTTGCTAGTGGGCAACGATGCCAATGACTTTGTGAAGCATCAACCGTGTTTCTTTCACAAAATTGATAATTCTCACTCTATTTACCCCCATTCAGCCCCACCACTGTCCCTTAAGGTATATATTTTTATACCAATTTATGAATAAAAAATGAAAAGATACTCGATTTATTAAGAGATTCGTAGAGTCTAATTGATTATTTTCACCATCCCAAATGACTATTTGTATTCAAATCTCATAGAATTTTAAAAGAATGTTGAAAAATGGGTACATATGATGAAAAATAAATTATGCATAGATAAAATTTACTTAAAATAAATCTAGAGGAAATTATACAAATCACATAGCACTTCTTCCATCCTTAAATGAAAGACACGGTGCTCTATACTAAAATGACGAGATTTTTTAATTGTTTGTATAAATTTATTAATCTTTTATAAAAATAAAACATTATTTTTTTACTCTTGTTTAATAAAAATTTTTATGTGTCCCGTAAATTTTAAATATATTATTTGTAAGTTTAAAATTTAGAATTTTCTCTTGTTTTAGCATCTATACACTCCATTAAGAACAAAAAAGTTTAAAGAAAAAAAAAATGTAAAATTAGTTTGGAACAGAGTAATACGGAACATTGTTCAAACAGTTAAACCCGTAGACGTAAAATCCGTCCCGATTAATCCTCGTCGTCTTCATGGGAAGCTTCATTTTCCAACCATATCCCCTCCTTTTCTTCTTCATCTTCTTCGCCTCCACCACTACCCCCCACACACTCTTTCTCTATCTCTCTCTAGAACCGTCAGACCAGAGTCGTCTCTTTGATTTCTTGGATTCCTCTATAAATCTCACTCTGTTTCTTGACTCCGGCGATTGAATGACGGACTACAGGCTGCCGGCGTCGAATATCTGGGCCCCCTCTGCTTCCGGAGACGACGCTTCCATGTTGGAGGCGTTCTTGTCCTCCGACGTTCCCCAATTTTGGATTCCACCCAACAACGGCGTCACTCTGCCCACGCCGCCGCCGCCGCCGGTTATGTTCTGTCAGGAAACCTTACAGCAGCGCCTCCAGGCCCTGATTGACGGCGCGAGGGAAAATTGGACTTACGCGATTTTCTGGCAGAGCTCCGCCGATGACTTCGCCGGCCCGGCGTTCTTGGCGTGGGGAGATGGGTATTACAAGGGGGAAATTGAAGAGAAGGCCAGGAGAAGACCGAGAGTGTCCACTCCGGAGTTTGTTGCCCAGCAGGAACACCGGAAGAAAGTACTCCGACAGCTCAATTCTTTAATTTCCGGCTCGGTTTCCTCCGATGACGCCGTCGACGAAGAAGTCACGGATACAGAGTGGTTCTTCCTGCTTTCCATGACCCATTCTTTCGTGACCGGGTCCGGACTTCCGGGTCAGGCATTTTGCACTTCCAATCCGATATGGCTCGCCGGACCGGGGAGTCTCGCCGGCTCGCCGTGCGCGAGGTCTCGTCAGGCGCAGGGCCTCGGGCTCCAGACTATCGTCTGTATCCCGTCGGCGAACGGCGTCGTAGAGATCGGATCGACGGATGTCATTTTCCAGAGCTCCGATTTGATGAACAAGGTCCGGATCTTGTTCAATTTCAACAACCCTGATATGGGTTCGGGTCCCCTTTCCGCCTCCGGATCTTGGGCGGCTCAGCCGGAGAATGACCCGTCGGTACTCTGGCTCACCGACCCAACCTCCTCCGGCGCCGAAGCTAAAGAAACCGCCGATACAATTGTTCATCCGAATTCTTTTCCTTCCACCGCGACTAAGCAAATCGTGTTCGGGAACGAGAATCCTAACCCGGAGACCGTTCAAATCCACCACAGTTCTCTGCAAAACGGAATCTTTTCCGGCGGATCGAATTTCACCGAGTTCGGGAGAAACGGGAGCCCGTCGATTTCCTTCAAGCCGGAGTCAGGGGAGATCTTGAGTTTCGGAGCAAAGAAAAGCAGTTGCGGAGGGAACGAGAACATGTTTTCCGGTCAGTCGTCTCACTTTCCGGCCGCCGCCGCCGCCGAGCCAAACCAGAGAAAGAACAAACCAACCAACTCAAGAGGGAGCAATGAAGAAGAAGGAATACTCTCCTTTGTTTCCGGCGTCATCCCGTCCCAGGACAACACCAGAAGGACCACGGCAGATTCAGACCAGTCAGATCTAGAGGCTTCCGTGGTCCGGGCCATGGAACCCGAAAAGCGACCCAAAAAGCGGGGCCGAAAGCCCGCAAACGGGCGAGACGAGCCGCTCAACCACGTCGAAGCCGAGAGGCAGAGACGCGAGAAACTGAACCAGAGATTCTATGCTCTGCGGGCCGTGGTCCCAAACGTGTCCAAAATGGACAAAGCGTCCCTCCTGGGGGACGCAATCACATACATAAACGACCTTAAGTCCAAGCTCCAAACCATGGAATCCCACCGAAACGACCTGAAAACCCAACTAAAGACCCTAAAGAATGAACCCTCCAGTAAAGACTCTACCCCGCTGTCGAAGAATCTCGGTCCAAATAAGCCCGAGATCACCGACATCGAGGTCGACGTGAAGATCATCGGGCGGGACGCGATGATCCGAATACAATGCGGGAAAGACAACCATCCGGCGGCCCGATTAATGGTTGCCCTGAAAGAATTAGACTTAGAATTGCACCATGCCAGCGTGTCAGTGGTGAATGAGCTCATGATCCAACAAGCCACCGTTAAGATGGGAAGCCGGATCTACACTCAAGAAGAACTCCGTTCAGGCTTGGCTTCGAGCATTGCGGAAAACCGTTAAATAATTAACGGAGCAGTTTGTCACATTATTTCTTACCTTATTGTTTGTTTTGGACTTTTGGTTTGGTGTATATATATGCTTAGAGTTTGAATGATGTTTTTTTGAGCAAGTTGAGGAATTTTTTGCTCTCTCTTTCTTTCACTTTTGTAGCGATGTGTAATTTAGTTGTGTCTTAATAAAAAAAATTAGATTCAAATTTCTTTGCGTAATGTAAATTTAAAACATTACGGAGTACTTACCTAAATGCTTTTATTCGTGTGCACAATTTTAACTTCAAAAAGTTAAAACGCGGAAATTATTATTAAATGTACCAAAAGTTGAACATGGATTTTAATTAGTGGTAGGAAGCATTATATGTATGCATGTTTCATGTGAGACATCATGTCAAGATGAGTCCCACAATGGTAGACATTATTTGTGGTAGGAAGCACAAGTTGTTAAATACCAGTACGGCCGCACCGGACACTACTACTAAAATGGCATTACAATGTTACACTAGAAATTTGATATTTCAAAACCACGTTTTAATAGGTAAACTTATGTCATAATACAATGTATTGTTTCCGCATATCGAAGTCAAAGTTTACAATCTTTGACCAGAAAAAGTTAAATAGAAAGATCATTTCTGGAGAAAGGGAGTAAAACAAAATTTTGAAGAAGTTTGCAATTAACTTTTTTTAATGTTTATTTAATGGTTCATTGAACTTAATTAAAAAGGTCCAATGTGAGTAATAAAAAGTTCTTTGAATAATTTAATGCTACTAATTTGGGTGTTGAAATAAAGAGGGCTACAAAGTTTAGTAGTCACAAAAAGAGTCAAAACGTGCATGCACTTGGAATCCGTTTATGTTCCACTTTTCTCCCGTGTGTTCCCACACATTTGTTTTAAATAAACGAAACATATGACACATGTAATACGCATTTGCTTGCGAGTAATTCTTTTTTTACTTTTAACTTTTTTTTATAGATGTGCTTTGTTTCTAAGTCACTTGTTTTGTCACCAAATAATTTACCCATTGATAGAATCTAGAACCAAAAAGGTTGGCCTATACTTGCTTTAATATCATAACAAAATTTAAATGTGAAATTTCCACGTACTAAATAGTACTAAAACATATGTTCTTTTTCAATTTAGTACTTAAATCTTTTTATTTTCTAAATATAGTACTTGAATAATATCTAGTGGTAGGAATAATGTCTAGTGATGATGATTATTTAGTCTGAACAATGCAAATGGCACTGGATATTTACTTGAATAATGACCAGTGGACATTGAATAGTAGTACTACATTAAAAAATAAAAACATACATATGATACTACATTGGAAAAATCACTATGTTTTAGTATTATTTAGGTAAACTTCCCAATTTAAATTTGGATAAAGTCACTGAATTAAGGTACAAGATATTAGATGTGAATAATGCTAAAAGATTAACTCCAATTGAATATTTAGTTAAACTCAAAGCATGATTAACCCCCTTTGTTTTATCTATAGTCTTTTCAAATGGTCTGGCATACTTCAAAAATTTACCGATCATTTTGACTTCACGAAAATTAAGAATAAATGTTAAAAAGTAAATTCATTTTGTCGAACTTTACACTTCTTTTAGATTTCAAATCGTGAAGTTTATATTTCTCTACTTCTAACTTATAAAATAAATATGGGAATGTCTTTAGTTAATTATCTCTCATAGTCTCATCAAAATAAATTTCAGATACCCTTTTTGTTAGCATATAAACATACAGTATAACATTGGATATTCCATCTTATTGGGCCTGACCCATTGTATAGACGTTTGGGAAACCTAAAATATTATTTGGCCCGTACTATCTTAGTTTTCATTTCTCAGACTAGATTATAGAAATATATTACTTCTGTAGTTTATTTCTCCAATTTGATTTTTTTTAGTTATATTGGAAAATGTTTTAAATTTAATTAAATAAAAACATAATATATATTTGTATTAAAATGATTTAATTAGGTTTATCTTGCTAAAAGTTTTCAAAACTATATGGTATATATTATACCAATATGTAATATAATTTGAGAGTTATTGAAGCTCTAAATCGTTTAACTTGATTTGAAAAAGTTAAACTGAATAAAAACAGCGAAGATATATATAAGACCCACAAATAAATTTTATTAGTGCAGGGGGTACGGTTTAGCTTAAATTTCGGATTGAGAGAGAGGATATAATGGAGCTTTTTCTCCTCCAATAAACATTCAATCCTTTTAACATAACCAATCTTTAATTAATTTCCTCTCTTCATTGCATTTCCACAACAAAGATCATCAATTATAATATATATTCTCTTACACATGCATGCATGCATGCATATCAACGTCGTCGTCCATCGAACATGAACCTGAATTGCCTAAGCTGCCATTACACGAGAACAAGCTCCGTCGGAGGAGGACTGGACGGCATGGGCGCCGCCACCAATGAGGAGGAAGAGCCAAAGACGCCGAGGTTCCGGCTCATGAGTTTGAAGAGGTTGCAGGTCGACCGGAGCTGGTCCGGCAACTTGGTCGGACGGCCACCCGCCGGCCGAAACAACGGGACGCCGTCTTCAGGTCCGGGAGGGGGGAAGAATCTGGTGCAGCGCAGGCACAGCGGGCAAATTGTGTGCGATACGCCACGGTTGGTCCGTAGTTGCGGGATGAGAAGGGATTGGAGCTTTGAGGATCTCCGCCAAAAGGTCAAAGCTTGAGGTGATGCATGCATGCATGGAAGAATATATATAAACACATGTTTTATATCATATGTTTCGGAAAAAAAACAATTCCACCCTAATTTTTTTTGTATATCCTTCTTAATATTTGTATTCTACCTAAAATCTTTGTGAATACACCTCATTTCTCTTTTCTTACAGGTAAAAGTTATTTTGAAAGTATTTTAGACATTTTTTGGTGAAATAGAAATATTTTGTGAGATGCGTAAAAAATTTAGATGAAATTTCTTTACTTTGAGTAATTTTTTCACAGTATTTTATATTTTATGATTTTTAATATAACAATTTGAATATTAATCAATAATTTGTTTATACATTACTATATATGTATTTATATACGGAGTACATTACTATCAATTTGAATATTGTTTACACTTATCATGTCTAAGCTAGAACATGTATATGTAAGTTGTTTGATCGTATTTTGTGTTACTTGTTAATTATTCGTATTGAAAATAATAGTTTAAAAATTTGACAAATGTTATTCTATTGTTAAATAAAATACTCCGTATGCTTAACGGATAATTCTTACAGAGCAGATTTTAAAAGCATCAAGGGGTGGTGGCGCAGTTGGCTAGCGCGTAGGTCTCATAGCTTCTGAGTGATCCTGAGGTCGAGAGTTCGAGCCTCTCTCACCCCATAAAGTCTTTTTTTTGCACAAACTATTTTGTGATGTTTGTAGAAACTCGAAAGACAATTTTTCAAAAATTTAAAAAGTTTAACCAACATCACAAAAAATGTTTTGCCTATTATGTTTCACACACATAAAGATAGCATTTGTAGCCAAGGTTTATTGGGATTTGTTATCTTCAAGTCCAACTCAAAACTTGAAAATGAAAAAATTTAAAAAATACGGAGTAGATAATAAAAATAATTATTTTTTCTGTTGTCAAAACATACTCGAGATTGTTTCTAAATATATTACGTCATTTGCTCGAAACCAAAGTCTAATCTTCTATGTGTTCAAAACGATTTCTATAATTGGAGAATCGTGCTGATAACGTGTTGTTAACCGATTCGTTTCTTATTCATAGAGAAAGTGAGATATATATGTACTATTAAAGTACAAATTGATAAGAGAAAACTAATTCTTAACAAACTAAATTCGAACTTCATTATTTAATCAAAATACTTTATTTCAAAATTTTAAACAAACATATTTTGTTGAAAGATGAAATTGGAACCTTATTTCTGATTCAAGCTGGATAAAAAATGGGCAGATCTTCGGACTGGGACGGATAACCCGGCCCATATCCGGCTCTAACCAGGAATCACACCGCGTTCCATTTTCATTTTTTTTAATTAATGTGTCTTTTCCCCCAATTTCTCTCCCAATTTGCATATTTCATTTCATCTTTGACCCTCCGCTCATCGCCGCCGCCGCCGCCGCAGCCTCCGTCTCCTCCACCGATTCTCCCAACAGCTCTCTCTCTACCCAATCTTCTTTCTCCCAATCTGTGTTTTCATCACACCGCGCCAGAGAAGAAAGGAATCTAGGGATTCAGACATCACGCCCGCCAAATCGCACTGTAAGTTCATCGTCTTTGTATTTTCGTTTCTAATTCTCTGCCGGTTTGATGTTTCTAGATGCGCGAATTGTGTTGAGTTACGATTTGTTTTTAATTCGGCCAATTTAAATTGCAAACTCATATGATTGTTTTTTCTGTCGAAGCGTTTTCCTTTGTTTTTCCCTGAAATCTCCTTTTCATGATTTGTTAAGTTCTGGAGCTTAGGTTTTGGGGCTTTGTATGCACTTTGAGTTGAATTGGTATGTGAAGTTGGTGTGGACTTTGAATTGTTCAAGTTGAATGATAAATGGCTTCATGATTCTTAATAGTGTTTGAAGGTTATGCTTTAATTCTCTGTTTTGAGTATATAAACTTGGATTTGCAGGGTTTTGAGTTGAATTTCTGGATGGCATTTGAAGTTTTGTGATTGTAATTAGCAAGAATTGTTGTTGGATCATAGTGTGTAGGGTTGGAATGGAGAACCCTAATAGGCAGATGGGTAGGAATCAACAAACAGAGTCATTGGGGGTGAATAAGTTGGGGAAGAATATAAGGAAGAGTCCAATTCACCAAACCATTTTCACCAATCCAACCACCGGTTCTTCTAGGCCGCAATCCCAACCACAAGTCTACAACATAAACAAGAATGATTTCAGGAGCATAGTTCAACAGCTGACCGGTTCCCCTTTGCGCGAACCTCCGGCAGCCCGACCGACCCAACACCCTCCCAGACCACAGAGCACGAGGTTGCAAAAGATTAAGCCTCCTCCTTTGACGCCCATAAACCGTCCACGGATTCCCATTCACCCATTTACAGCCCAACCACCTCAATATGGTCAGCAACAATCGATGCATGCTTTACCTCCATTTACCCCAACTGATAGTTGGGGAAATCGAGCAGAGTCTCCAGTTTCTGCTTATATGCGTTACCTCCAGGCTTCGATTGTAGATTCCGCGGGGCCTGCAAGTCAAGGGCACCCGTCACCATCTGGTTTGCTTCCCAATCCCCATTTACCGCCCATCCTATCCCCTAGATATGGTCTTCAATCCCCGCGGATGAATCCCGCCGCCCCTCCATTTCCTCCGCCCCCTCTCCCATCTCCGGGAGTAAATGGTCTTCCGCTTTTGCCCTCCCCAACTTCTCAGTTCCTTTTGCCTTCCCCGTCTTCCGGTTTCTACAATTTGTTATCCCCACAGTCATCGTATCCATTGCTTTCCCCTGGTATTCATCACACCCCGCCATTGTCCCCTAATTTTTCTTTTTCTTCAGTGGGTCAGCAGGGTATTCTTGGCCCCGGGCCCCATCCTCCATCTCCTGGTTATGGATTCCCATTGTCCCCTTCGGGATTCTTCCCCCTTTCAAGTCCTCGATGGAGAACTTAAGGGTCTGTTTGGTGCTTTGGTTTTGGACAGTATTGGAGTGGAAGATGTTAGAGGGCTTAGTCTATATATCAATTTTTATTCCAGATTTTATACTAGGTGTAAGATTAACATGATATGTGATCATACAACATTCCAAATATTTCTTATTCGTTTTAGAAACATTATACGGAGTATTTATATAGATATAGACAAAGTCTATGAAAGTCTTCTGCTCCATACCTCTCCAAAATCTTTCATCCAAACTGAACTCAATGGGCTTCCAGGATTTAAGCCAGTGACCGCTCTCGGAATCACTTTTGGACTTCGGGTTGTTTCATATTAGCCCGTATCCTCGAACGGGAGTGTAAGTAAGGTACAGGTTGAGGGAACAGTGTGGATGTGGGTGTGGGAACAAACCTCAGATGTTTTTACTTGAAGGGTGATTATGGTTCTCCATGTACCCATATCATCTTTGTCATGTATACTGCCACAATATAGGTTCTGTCTTATAAATGTGCGCATTTGGTTTTTTCATTTGTTGGTGTTTCTGCTGTATTAGTGTTCATTTTGGAACATAGAGGTAGAATGTTTGGTGATGAACATCACTGATGTTTGTAACTTTTTAGCTAATTACTCCCAAGAAAGAAATTCTTGAAAATGATTCGTTTTGCACTTGAAGCATGTGGTAATTGTCATGTCTGAAAGACTCTGTCTATGTTGAGCTAATAATTTCAAATTTTGATTTCGAGACTAGTGTAACATTCACGCATTTTAGCCTTTTTATAAAATTCGATACAGAGTATAAAACAATTGAAAATTTGCCCAAGTGTTCTTTTTTATGGTCTTGAAGGCTTGTTTAAAAAAATTGCGCTCTTTCTCGACCAATTTTTCGAAGTAGAAAAAAACCCAGAATTTGAAAATAAATGGAGTATGAATTATTTTAATCGAAATATGAAATTTTAAAAAAAGTACTCTGTAACATTTATTTTAACACTTTTTTCTCTAATGTTTTTCAACTATTTCTAATTTTTTTCCAACGCCTTGTTTTCTCAGATTTTATTTCAATTCTTAGCTTCTTTGAATTACTTCTAATTTCTTGCAACATCCAATATTTTTTCCCAACTTAAAAATCATCATTATTATTGTTGGCAATTTGTTATGTTAGATTTGAATTTTAGATTCTCTATTCCCTTAAAATTATCTTTATTATTGTTGTCATTATTAATATGAAATTGAACTGTACTCCTAATCTAGGAAAAATGAGTTGATCCAAAATCTTTTGTGAATAAGTGTTTGATACAATGTGAAATTTGCATTAAATAAGACTAAAACATAATGACTTTCCTAATGTAGGACTTAAACTTTTTTATTCCCTAAATAGAACTTAATAATGACTTAGTGGAAGGAATAATGTCTAGTAATTATATATTTCTATCTCTGTCCCTGAGTTTTTGTCTAGATTTGACTTTTTTTTTGTTATGTATTTTTAACTTTTGATCTATTATTAAATATAATATATATTGTATTTTTATTAGATAAAGTAATATTTTGATAATATTTGATATTATAAATCTAATAAATATAAGATATTATAAATCTAATAAATATTTAAGATGTGACAAATATAATAACAAATTTTTTACGGTGCAACGCACAGGTACGAAATTTTTTTTAGCTATTGCCTATTAGATATTTCCATCTCCTTCCCTAGGTTTTTATCCTGATTTGACTTTTTTGCTCAATTATCTTCAATTTTTGACATATAATTAAGTAAAATACTCCCTCCGTCCCATGAAACATGAGAGTTTTGCTTTTTAGGAGGGATATAAGGTGAGTGTATTTTGGTATTGAATTTCTAAAAATGTCTTTTGATGTGATGTGTAAAAGTATGATTTGATGGATAGATTATTAGTAAAAAGGTATGATGTGATAGTTAGAGTATGAAAAAGTAAGGGTTAAAAGTGACTTTTTAATAAAAATGAGAAGTATTTTGTGGGACGGATAAAAAAGAAAGGAGAAAGGTTTTATGGGACGGAGAGAGTATAAATTACATATTAATTAGATAAATCAATTTTTTGACAATAATTGATATAATAAATGTAATAAAACTATTTTTGTATCAATATCTAATACCATTTTTTTAATTTAAGGTCAAAATTTACTAATTTTTATGGAAAAAATCAAATGTCGACAAATACTCAATGACGGAGTGAGTATATCTATTGGTTAAGTATTTACTGGCCCGAAAAACATGGATGAATTATATGAACATATTTTTATCCCGAGATTGTTGACAGGGAAAAACATTGGTCAAGAAACTGTTATCCTGTGATTGTTGCTTACACCATCGGATGCAAGCATTTGTTTTAAATTTCAAAGAAAACAGTTCCCGATTATGATTTCTTATGCTATGACAATTAATAAAAGTCAAAGACATTCATTGACGCATGTTAGGCTTTTACTAAAAAATTTGTATTCAGTCATGACTAGCTTTATGTGGCATTTTCACGAGTCACTAATCGCAATGGATTAAAGATTTTGATTTGTTGTGAAGATTCTGGGACATTTAATAAAACCGCAAACTATAAAAAAGTTTTCCGAAACTTATTATGTTATTTTCTCACATCGTGCGTTGTTGTACAACTTCTCCTCTTTAATATATATTACGTATCTTTGTTTAAAGCAAATTTTATCTTTTACTTCTATTAATGCTTCCCTTATTTATTTAGTTTTAAGTCAGACCGTGCAACGCACGGGTTCGAGTCTAGTTGTGGACAACATTATTCCAATTAATAAGAAGTTGGATTATTTTGACACTGATTTCTTGTATTCTATTATGACACTCAGATCAATTTGAAGACCCTACGATGCTCTTTTCGACTCGAAAGTAATTTTTACATTCCTAATCTTCCTACAAACCCGGTCCCACCTCCATCTCGTCTCTATCCCAGCTCACAATTACATCCTTCTACTTTTACTGATATTTTGAACAAAATTATTAATTCAAATGTCAACTAAAATTGGGAGATGCATTTGTCAAGATAGATGTGAAGTGTAGGGTGGTAAGGGCATTTGTAACGGAAGGGGAGAAAATCGTTGCGCCGCTTAAAGAGGTCCGGCGCGCAACAGACGTCGCGGGACGGTGACCAGGCTTGGGGTTGGGGTGTGGGTGAGTGGTGACAGGGAGCGTCGTAGTAGTGTTGTGCCGTTGCGGTGCCACACCGATGGGGCTGTTGTAATTTTTTAATTTCATTTTTTCAATTTGATTTATTTATTTTGAAATTTTGAACTCTATAATTTCAATTTCATTTATTCAATTTCAACCTTTTTAGTTTCAATTTAATTTTTATTTCAATAATTAATATTTGATTTATGTTTTTTCTTTTATTAATTTTTGATAATTTTGAATTTATTATTTTTATTTTTTATTTATTATTGTTATTATTACTTTATATTATTCTTCATGTGCGTTGCTAAATCGACTCATCTTTTTGTAATATCTACTTCATTTATGGTAGATTTCCAATTTGATCCTTAAGTTAACCCACATGTTGTTTTTCTTTGTTTTCACACTTCAAAAATAAATTTGTCATTTTTTAAAAAATGAGATGGATATAGCAAAAAGAAGGGTGTATTTATCAACACTCATTCTTTATTACTAATACGGAGTATATTTTATTTTTTAGTTTTTTATTAACTGATAAATATCTTTATTAAATTTATATAAATTTTATTACAAAAACAATTAATAGTATAAAATAAATGTAGAGGTGAGACGAAAAAACAATGTATAAAAAAAAAAAGATAAAAATGATGGCGTGATAGTGGAAAATATTGATCACGGGATTAAAGACTAAAGAGAGTCAAAAATGTCATAATTTGCTAGTACGGTGTAAAATGTTTGGATTAGAATGGCCAAGAATACCTAATCTCTAAGGTCAAGGATTTATCCTCCTTATCTCCAAATGGCGAGCCCTGATTGGCCGCCGCGATATCCCGCCCACTGGATCCTGACTTACGTAGGATCCAACCGAACTCCAAAACGGAAACCACAGTCAATTTCTTCGGTTGACTATTTTCTCCCTCCCCAAATCTCCGATTTACACCACAAGAATGCTCTGCCTTAGCCGGAGAACAAACACCCACCACCGAGCCGAGGTCAAACGCGTCATTTCACCCACCTCTTCCCTTCCCCGACGTTAGCTCCCGATCCACCGCTCCGGGTCGGACTCGGAATGGAGCTGCCGGTGGCATTTCGAGCTCCGGCGCCTCCTCCGGCGATTTCCGTCGGCGCTCGTGTTTGGGCGGCGGTTAGTTTTCCTGCGAAGAGGAGGAGGATCGGGAGTGCCGCGGTTGTCAGAGTTAGAGCGACCACGGAGAGGACAAGCGGCGGCGGCGATGCGGTGGACGGCGGAGCGGCGGCGGAGATGGATAATTCTTCCGGTGCTGGAACATTCGCCGGAGGACCGGCCATGGAGGTGACCACACTGGGTCAGAACTTCCGGGAAGCTGAGTTGCCCGTCTGGGAGAAGATCGGTGCCGTCGTCCGACTCAGCTATGGAATCGGTGAGTTTTATATTTTTAGTTAAATTGGGAATTGATTTATTTTTTCCCCATATAAAAAATCTAATAAAGCAAACTTTGACATTAGAATAAAGTGAAAAACCCTTTGGTTCATAAGATTCTAAAGAAAAAAAATCAAAATTTCCATGGCTGAAGAGTTAGTACATTTTGCATATTGTTTGAGTTATATAATGTCCTTTGGTAATCAAGTTCATTTTTAACTAGCGTTAATTTTTTTAAATAATGTTTTAATGATAGCAGATGAACTTTGAAATACTGATATTGAACCTAGTTATTAGATAGGTAGTATTTTGAAAAACTCTAAATGTAAATGTTAACATTGTTTCCAAACTGGCCCTATATCAACTAAATATGAGTAATGAATCCTTAATAAATATGGGGTAAATCTCACATCTTGAGAGTTGTTTTGGGGTGAGTTAGGTTCAATATTTATTATCAACACATATGTTAAGAATGAGGCCTTATATCCCTGATTCGATCCGGTGGGCCGGACCCTCGACTAGCGCCTCCCTCGACCCACTGGTCTTTACTTGCTTGCCCATAATATGATTTCCGCTCCTTAATTACACCGCACTTTAGATAATGCGTTTGGGCCTACTCAGCTCTCTTACTGAACCTGATATCCATCATAAAGTATTGTGATATTGGAGTATATTATATTCGAATCATGTTTATGTTTCACATAGTGCCAATAAAAGAATTATGATGTACAAAGATATGTGAACTCATATCTCCTACATTCACCAAATGTGCCCTTAAACCAAATATCTTGTATATCATATATACTCAATTTGAGATATCTTTTAATTAACTGCATATATGAACACATTGCCAACTTTTAATGTTATCATTCCCTTAAACACAGGCATATATGGTGCAATGGCTTTGGCGGGGAGGTTTATATGCTCATTGACGGGAACAGACAGCACCGGTGGGTTCACGCCAACGTTAGACGCCATTTTCAATGGATTGGGATACGCTGTTCCTCCCATCATGGCCCTTCTTTTTATACTAGATGTAATATTGAACAACTTTAGTTTCGTCTTCTTTTTTTCCATTATTTTGATTTTTGTTTGACGTTAATGTGGTCCGACAAAAATGTCTTTTAAACAGGATGAGGTGGTGAAGTTGTCGCCACACGCTCGTGCCATTAGGGATGTCGAAGACGAGGATTTACGCAACTTCTTCTGCGGTATGTCGCCTTGGCAAGTAAGTCATCTCACTATCATAGCGCACCACCTGAAACCATTCTCGTGTCTTCAACCACAAACTTGAGCTTTTAGTTGTATTGTGTTAAGATATGTATTAGGTTTTAAGTTAATGGACTCGTTGTAAATGGGCTCACAATTAGGTTCAGCTGTTAGAATATAAAAACTTTTCTTGGGTCACAACAACAAGCTTGAGCTTTTAGTTGAATTGGTCCTTGACATGGTATCAGAGTCTTAATAACTAAGAGGTCACGAGTTTGAAACTTAGCGGCTTAGCACTGCCCTATACTTAAAAATGTAAGGTTTCACATGCAAGGCTTGAATAAAATACGCCTGCACATGAGAGGGCGTGTTAAAATATATCACTTAGATCTTGCCTGTATGTGAGATGGCATGCTGAAATGTAAAACCTTTTTCTTTTAAACATCAACTAGAAATTTGAATTTTTGGTTAAGTTGAATCTTAGATAATAATTTTTCGTTGCAACTTAATTGATGATGAGTTCGATATCACTTTACAGTTCATTCTGATTGTCGCTGCAAGCTCCGTCGGGGAGGAGCTCTTTTACCGAGCTGCTGTACAGGTCAGCGTACCCTAAAAACTTGAATGAACGTGGACGTACATTACGTCCACATTTATTTGATTTTAATTAATGTATCTAGAAAATCATAATAAACAATTATTCACGAACATTGCAATTCCATCCTAAAAATCCCAACCTTTTGATATGTTAACTTCTGCAGGGCGCGTTGGCCAACATATTCTTGAGGAGCACAGATTTAGTAACCGATCCCCGCGGAATGGCGTCTTTGGTAAGCTCATTTGAAAAATAATTTTTTTTAAAAAATTAGTGTTTTTACCCTTCCGACCTCGTTTTACAATTGCACGAAAACAATGACCCGTAATAATGTATATATGTTTTGTTGTGTGTATATCGACATGTAGACGGGTGTTTTGCCACCGTTTGTGCCGTTTGCTCAGGCGTTTGCTGCCGTTTTGACGGCGGCTCTCACTGGCTCTCTTTATTACATGGCTTCCTCTCCAAAAGGTAGGATCCAAAGTGCATATTATTATTATTTGGACACTCTTATACATACAAATCTTAATTGCTTCAATTTGTGTTTAATATCAAAACGCGACTCTGTTTTTCTCGAGTAGAGGAATAAAGTCTGCGTACACAAATTTTACCTTTTGTCGCATTCTCTTTTGGTTTTGTACCTAAATAAACAAATGTGGTTTATAAGGTTGTTCATCTTCCCCTTCAGATCCCACATATGTTATCACGCCCGTACTCAAATCTCGTTCGGGTCGTGAAGATTTCAAAAAGCTCTTTGCAGGTACACATTTTTCACACACTCTCAAAGACCAATGCCAGATTGTAGATTATATATATCTCCGGATACGTTTGTTTTAAATTTCAAAACTCATATAATTTTTTTTTGTCCAACGAATATAAATTGTACGTAACAGCGTGGTACGAGAGGCGGCAAATGAAGAAGATATACTCTCCCTTGCTAGAGGCATTCTTAGGACTCTACCTTGGATTTGAATGGATACAGGTAATTAATTAATTAATTAATTAATTAATTAAACTCCTCTTATGAAAGCTTAACAATGTGATAATAATTAGTGTTAAAATACTTTTTATCAATGCCAGACAAACAACATTCTTGCGCCGATAATTACGCACGGGATATACTCGGCTGTCGTGTTGGGACACGGATTGTGGAAGATCGACGATCACCGGAGAAGGCTACGCCAGAGGATCCAACAACTCAAACACGAAGGAGAAGGAGGAGGGGGGAATCAATGATTCGACATTTTTGGAGGGCCTTTTGACAATTTTGTAATTAAGTAAGAGACTGTGCCAATTGGGGCTGCAAATTGTATTTCATGTATTTGTGTCTGTTTGTGTATATATATGCTTTGAAGGTGAAACTTTGCACAATGGAAAAACATAACCAATGAAAATGTTATTGTACCTGGGAACATATATCAATAATAATAATAATAATAAATTTATGTGAATTTATAGTTCTCTCCCCTTCTTTCTAGTATAGAATACTTCTTTTTTCAGTATTACACAAAGCTATATGGGACGAGCAAAATAGTCTGTAATTGCAATGAAGTTCAGACTTAAATTAATTCTAATCTTTAATGTTATAATCAAACAAAGACCCATTGTGAGTCTTAAGAATAGATAAGGTTTTGATATGATTTGATAATAATTGGTTTATTTAAAGAATGAAAGTTATGTTTTTGAAAACTTTCACTAAATAGAACTAAAACATAAGTTATTTTCCAATGTAGAACTTGAAGTTTTTCATTTTTTAAATAATATTTAATAATGTCTGGTGGGAGAAATAATATTCAATAATAGTGAATATTTTTACTTGAATAATGATTAATTGGCTTATATTAAAAAATATATGATCCTATATCGAGAAAGTCATTATTTTTTAGCCTTATTTGAGTAAATTTCCTAAGAAAAGAAAGAAGGGGAGAGACGAAAAGCCAAAAAAGGAAAGGTAAAAAATAACAATGGAAAAATAAAACAGTAGGGCGAATCCGTTTTTCCCGTTCCTGCTACGGGTAGGGGGGCCATATTTCCCTTGGTGCCACGTCGTCTTCACGCTCCCATGTCCCATCCCATACCTCATACATCAAAAGCTTGCACCAGTGTATTAAACATTCACACAGACACAAAATATTAATATAAAATTTTAAGATCTTACTACGTATTACTCCGTATTTTGTACCAATGTATATCATCAGTGTACAAATGCAAATATTCAATGTATAATTTGGTGTAAATAGAGTGGTGTGTGGGTAGATTTTTCTTTAAAAAAGAAGAGTAAATTCCAAAGATGGTCCTTTATAACAAAGTGTTTTCTCAATTCAGTTCTAAATAGGTTTTAAATACCTAAATGGTCCTTTATAATTGAGATCCATTCCCAAAATGGTATTTGTAAATAATATTACTCAAATGATGATTATTTGGGAAATATTTTGATATTTTGATCATTCAAATTTAAAGTATATTTTCGAAATTATCATTTCTGTATAACAAAATTTAAAATTTTAAAAGTACATTGAATATAAATAATTCATGAATTATTTAAAACTTAGAAAAAATCTTTTAAATTTCAATTCAAATACACATATTTAATTAGAAAAACCATTTTAAGAAAGCACTTCATTATAAATAATGATTTTAAGAACTAATTCTAAATTTAACGGATAAAAAATACACAAATACCCTCAATTAGTCCTAATTTGAGTAACATTATTTACAAAGGATCATCTTGGAAATAAATCTCAACTATAGAGGACCACATAGGTAATTAAAACTTGTTAAGGACTGATTTAAGAAAATACCTTATTACAAATGACTATTTTAGGAATTTAATCAAAAAAGAAAGGAAGAAAAAAGAAAAAGAGAGAGGGGATGACACATTGACACGAAAGAAACAAGTTCCAAGGAGAGGAAGTGCGCCTGGTGGCCGACAACCAAATGCTGCTGCCCCTGCCCGCCCTTCATTACTTTCCGTTCACCCGTTGACCGCACGTGAACTGCTCTCTCTCATTTGCCCAAGAGTCCATAGTTATTAATCCTACTGTTTTAAAATGTTTCTGTTTTACAATGTCGTATAAAATTTCTCTTATAAAATTATTGTATTTACAAAAAAAAAGTAAAATTACACCGTGTAAAAACAGATTAAAAAATCTACGAAATAAGATGCAATAAGAATATTTTAATTTAATGATTAATCAACCAAAACGAGGAACAAAATAAATGTTATCAAAAGAATGAAATAGTAACTCTTACTTATATTTTGTGACAGAGGGCGTAAAACTTACTCTCTCTATCTAAAAAAATCACAGCTATTAATTCAATTTCTCGATAAATTTTATTTGTTTACTTGTTTTGGTAGACTATTTGATAAAATGAAATATTCTTGTCATATACAGAGTATAAAATTTTTGATATACTTTTGAATGATATAATTTAAATTTTCTTATTTTTCTACAAATTTGTAAATAAAATGTGTTGAGAAAAGATCTAAATAAAAATGTATTGTAAATAATTTGGAATGGAAAGACTAAAAAAGTTAAAGAGTAAATGAGATATGGTTAAAATTGGTTTAGAAAAGACACAATTTTTTTTCAACTTATCTAATTTATTAGAACATACTCCCTTCGTCCTAAAATATTTTTCCCACTCACTTTGAGTCAGAAAATACTGTAATCTAGAAAATATACTCACACTCGGATTATACTCTTGCGTTCTAAGAACACTCGGCTCATTTGATTACTCTCTATACCTAGTGTATTATAGGCCTGGGCTCACAAACCCATCACCATGTTATATACGAATATATTTTAATATATTTGATCGAAAAAATCAAAATTAGACAAATATTGAGGAAAGGAAGTAATATATTTTAGTATTCCCTACATCCTATATTTAACTTCTCACCTTCATGTTTAGGATATCTTGAAATAATCTTCCCCCCTACTCAAAATGGCAACTTCTATTGTATTAAATGACAATAATACCTTCTAACCTATGCTTTCTTTTTTCCTTCCTATTTATCATGTCCTCCTTACTACCTAGCCTCAGCCATTTTCTTTAATTTCTTCTTAATTCTAACTTCTACTTTTCATAATCTCATCACATTGACCTTCTCTTTTTGTTCTCAAATCTCAACTTTCCTTTCCCTTCACGAGATTTCATTTTTCTCTTTGAATTTTTTTCGTTGCATTGCACCTTTGTCTTTGATCTAGATTAAAATTGGATTTGTGATTATATCCATTTCGAGATCTATTCTTTGTTGTTAAGATGAACACATTGAAAAACTTGAGAAGAGCAATTATTTTAGTAAAATTATGTTAACAAGAGGTATGCTAGTGCTACCAACTTGCACCTTACATGTACTCCATCTGCCCCCTAAATTCTTCTCGTTTTGACTTTTTGTGATTTTAAGGAAAGTTGAAGAAAAAAAATTTACCAAAGTACCCTTAATGAAAATGGGTGAAGTGTATTAAATGAGGTGAGTGAGATATAATAAATAAAGTAAGTGAAAATAATTCTTTTATTTTAAATGTTAAAAAAGATAATGAAAAGATCTATGAACGATATTAGGAGTATAAACAATAGTTATTTGTATAGTGTACAAATAATTTTTTGTGTGTATATGTATTATACATGTAGTTTGCAATTTGAGGTACTAATTTGATGCACTCTAACTTATTTTAAGTTTACAATTATGAGATTCAGCTTATTGAACTTATAAATTATTTTCTCCGAGAGATGTTTGCCACATTTCTTTTTTCAATCCTCGCGAGAACTTTTATTTCTTGTACGTTTTCATTGATTATTTAATAAAATAAAATATTCTTAACACATCTTATTTCGAAGAATTTTTCATGTACTTTTAAATATTTAAATTTTATGTTTTAATTCTATACTAATATTTAAATAAAATAAATTTAAAAAATTGATATTTTACTTCATTTTTAAAATGTGAAACATTTTGAGAGGTTGGAACAATGATTGATTAAGTTGTTTTTTTAGCAAGTTGTTTGGACCAAAAGAGTAAAAAGTGTGGAGAAAAAATGAGTAAACATAGGAGGAAGAAGTCAAACAACCCCAGTCAAGCTGTCATTGTAAGACATGGACAGGGATATCCAGATTAGGTTTACCAGGAATCAATGCCAATTTTTTTGCTTACTAATTTGAATTTGTTGGTCTCTTGGGTTTTGTACCATACAAAAATTTTCAAGAAATTAAATACTATCTGTCTCTAAATATTTATCACATTTCGCAATACGAGACAAAAACTCAAATTTTTTCTACTTTTATTTAAATATTAGATAGAAATAAAAAATTAAATTTATATATTTAAAAATGGCATGAAATTTTTTTCAAAAAAAAAAGGCGTAAAAAATATTTTATTTTATTAAATAATCAATAAAAACATATAAATAAAAAAAAGTCTAAAGTTTACCTAGTTTGACTTAAAAATATCAAACACAACGACCATTTATGACAAAAGTAGTATATTTGTAGTCTTTTATTATTAAATATTGCGGGCATAGTTCTTGTTATATACTCCCTCCGTTCCAGAAAGAATGCCACGTTTACTATTTTGGTCTTTCGATAACTTTTGTTTGTTTGCTTGTTTTGGTTGACTATTTGATAAAATAAAATATTCTTGTCGCATCTTGTTTTGTAGAACTTTTCATATATTTTTGAATGGTGTAATTTTTACTTTTTATTACTCTACCAATTTGAAATTAAAGTGATTTTAAAAGAGATGATATTTTGCACGTCGTTCGAAGTGTTGCAAATAAATTGGGACGGAGGGAGTATATATTTTTGTAGGTAGTATTATTTCTACGTTCTTTCATATTGGTGCTAAATTAATACTCCTGTAATTAAGAATGTAATCAAAATAGAGACGGAAGAGTATAATTTTATCTAGAATTCCCTAATTTTTTATCCTGTACTATAAATTTTAATTTTAAATTTTAAACGTACAAAGTTCCCGTAATAATTTGAGGACGTCATACTATCATAGGATTTGGAAGGGCTGCATTTGGTTTCTCTCTCCCTTCTCTCATTACTACCCTTCTGCAACTATCTGGGCAACTTTCCTACTCTAATCAAATCTAGGCCAGGGTTCCTTTTTTCTTTTCTTATTTTTATGCCTAACTTTATTTCCATTTTCCTCCCAATCATTCCAAATAAATGCTTTAAAGCCCCGCGGTCCCCAACCGATTTTATAAAAAAAGATTTTTTTTCTTTTTTTGGTTGATGTTATGGCTTCTTATACCACCGGCACTCATCATCAAGATCAGATTCACCGCTCCGACGAAAATAGGGACGACGCCGGCGTGCCGGAGAGTTCCTCCGCTGCAACCCGGCGGGCCCGCGGAAGGCCCACCGGATCCAAGAACAAGCCGAAGCCGCCGGTGATTATCTCCCGGGAGAGCGCCAACGCACTCAAAGCGCACATCTTTGAGGTCGGCACCGGCTGCGACGTGTACGGCTGCTTGGCTGAGTATGCGCGGCGGCGGCAGCGCGGGATTTGCGTGATGAGCGGCACCGGGGCGGTGGCGAACGTCACGTTCCGGCGGGGCACGGGGGCGACACTGCACGGGAGGTTTGAGATACTCTCGATGTCTGGGTCTTTCCTGCCGGCGCCAGCGCCGCCGGGTGCCACCAGTCTCAGTGTGTATCTGGCGGGTGGCCAAGGCCAGGTGGTTGGCGGCAGCGTGGCGGGAGAGCTCGTCGCCGCCGGCCCGGTCATTATAATCGGAGCCTCCTTTGCGAATGCCGCCTACGAGAGGCTGCCGCTGGAGGGGGAAGAGACGCTGCCGCATCAGGTTCTGGCATCGGGGTCATCTCAAAGCTCCGGCGGCGGCGGCGCCGCATACGACCACCCATTTCAAGACCCCACTTCTTCCGGTTTCGCATTCTTCAACATGCCTCCCTTCGGAATGTAATCCGAGTACTGGTAATAATTGACTATTTTCCATTGAAAAACAAGAAAAAAACAAGAATATAATGAGTCCTAAGCCCATATTTAGAGAGATTTTTTACTTAAAACAATTGTCTCTCCGCCGATGGGCGTCGTGCAATTAGCAAGGCAAGGAGTTTTAAGAAGGTAGATTCGAGTTCGATTCCTAATAAATGTGTTGGGAGGCAGATATACTAATCACACGAAATCTATAAGTATCGGGTGTAGGCTTTATGTACTCTTTGTTACTAATCTCCGATCAAAATATAGTTTACTTGTTCTCAGTGACCGCTCGATCAAGTTCTAAAGGACGAATCAGTAATGAGACTCATCCTTTCCTTGAAATAATTACCTCCTAAAATATTTGTCAAAAATGGAATCATTAGTGTACCGCACACCTAGTGCTATTCTAGTGATCATTCACAAAAAAGAAAGATCATTCCTCAATCTTTTTCTCTTGGTGTATTCTTTTTTTAATTCCTCTATGTTAATTTTCATTTAGGACATGTTTGGTGAAGTATAAAGATATTGTGTATAGTAGATATTAATTTATAAAAAAAATTTTGGTGAGTAAAGAAGAAATTTTTATTTTGGACTTTATTGCTTTATGAAAATTCTTCAGTTCTCGCGAACGGAGTCCAAAAACGTTCCGAAATAGCTCAAAAACTGGGTATGTGTAACACCTCACGGCAAGAAAGCTCAGAGAAGAGGTGCCATGAGCTTACAAAAACGTTCGGAAATAGCTCCAAAAATGTTAGGCTATGTTGTTTGGTGAGTAAAAACGTTCGCTTGTTTCCTTTTAAATTAAACGAATGTTGCTTCTATGATTTTTTTCTTTCATGTGCTAAAGATTAAAAGGAAAAGGAAAAAAATTTAAAAAAACAGTTTGAATGGAAAAGGAAAAAAATTAAACTAAAGATACTCCGTATATAACAAGGGTTTGGATGACAAAAAAAGGTAAAACAAAAAAATTTATGAAAAAAACATAAAAATAAATTATTTATTTTAATTACAAAAGATATAATTTAATTTTATTTAATTAGAAATAGAAAAATAAATGGTGTATTCCTTAGAGTAGAAATGAGATACTGATAAATGCAATCAACACTGGGGTTGTCTAAATTACATAAAGTCAAACTTCATCATCAAAGCAAATGCCTTTGCACAAGATAGTTAAAAGCTTTCACATGTCCTTGTTTTTCTCCGCATCCGTTACAAGTATAACTCCACTGAATAAGGCATCACATACACAAGTACAAAGACAAGTGAACAAAAAACTAGAGATATCTCAATAACAAGGTCATAATATACCTCTCCATTCCCAATGTAACTGACATTATATGACTTTTGCGATACATCAAAAGTCGAACGAATATAGACATACACGGTGTCTACATACATTCTTTTTTTAATGTATCAGTAAAGTCACGGTGATCAGTTAAAGATGAATGGAAAGGTATATGTAGACATAGGAGGGCAGTTTACATTGAATTGGGCCACCCCATGTTGACGTACATTGGCGCAGGGTGCCCGTAGGGCGTGGGCCCACGACGATTCGTAGGACTCCCGGCAATTTCTTCTTCCTCGGACTCGCTCGAGCCACCTTCAGATGGAGGGCTGTTGGCGCCTGGCCCACCAAAATCTAACGGCGGCGGGGTTGGAGATGCCGCCTTACTTGTGGGCCCTTTATTGCCACCGTTGGTAATGAAGCTGCACACGACCACCTGGACCGGTGAAGCCGCGATCAGCATTCCCGAAACGCCCCCGCCCATCACTCGCCCGTCTGCCCCAGCCAGTGACACACTCAACCCGCCCGACCTGCTTCGGGCAGCGTTGGTTTCAGATTCGGATAGCATGAACGAACCCGATAACGAGATGATTTCAAATCGGCCCTACATTTACAAGTATCAATCAAGCATTAATCTTTGAGTAATTATATCATCCCAAAAGTAATTGGAAACAAGCGATTAAAATTGAAACAGACCTCTAGAGTGACAGTACCGCCACATGATGCGGGTTGGCGAAGGGTGACGTTACAAATAGTCCCATTTGCAGACAAGACACAAACTGTTCTTGGGCCTTGCTGGGAGAACGCCATTATCTTTTGAGATATATCCTGCAACAAGCACAATGGGGATAAAAAATGATGGTTGGGATGCTATTTTGGCCAAAACAAGTTAACTTTAGCACTATGTTTCTTCTTTGTTAAGTGATTTAGTCTGCACAATGAAGTAAAAGTTAGTGTTTGAAGAGAGAAAAGAAACTACTGATAAGGTTTATAAGCCAAAAAATGCCTGCCCCAAAGTCCCAAAAGGGCACTATGTAGCTTTTGACTTGCTTATTTGGGTGAAATGTATGTTATGAAGTATTTTTCCTTTCAGAAAATTAGGGAGACTTGTCCAAATAATCCTTACCAAACAGGGCCTATCAAAGATTTGGAGAAACACAAGTGTCTCATAACAACTGATTCACTATACTGACCTAATAGATATAACAATACTTCAAACTATATCATCAACAACATTAACAGACCCAATAAAATCCCACAAAAGTAGGGTCGGGGGAGGGTATGTGAATGGAGACCTTACCCTTACTATATAGGACAAGTCATAACTATTGTGACAACCCACCAAAAGATCTACATTCGATGCCCTTGGTATTAAAACTTCAGTACGCATTCACAGTATTTTTATGATACTCAAAATGATACATGCACATTCAAAACATATAATGGATGTTTTGGGATCCAAGCACACTCTAACAAGCTACACTTACCAAAGCCAATGAAGCTTAAGAAATAGGGTAAAAACAAATCACCCAACTTGAATGTAAGGATCCGTTTGGAACCCGGATATGATGGGGAAAGAAAAGGCATGAAAGGAAATTGTGCAGGAAATAAAATCAATTTTTTGATATTTGCTCAAACTCATTTTATTGATGCATTTCTATTGTATAAAGACTAGGATATGAAATATAAATGTAATGTCAAATTCAATGTTCAATAACACAAAAGGAAATACCCATTTTTTCCTCTTTATGATAAATAAAAGACAGACATAAGAACTCCAATTGTTTTCTACTAATATGTCTGTCCAAACCTGTGTAACATTACCTATTTAGTGCATACAAATAAAGCCAGCATATGCCAAAATCATAACTTGACAACAACACATTCCATCAAAAGTAGTGTAGCTAAAGACGCATGAGAGTTAAAATGAGTTACTGATGTTAAAAAAAAATGGCATTCATAGCATTTTGGATTTCTTTAAATGTCATTTCTAGCTAAAGATGGAAATAAATTTGGTCATATGACATTTACTAGTTCTTAAATCTTTTAAACTCAACTCCCCAACACCAAAGGAAAGATCTTTGTAGCTTTTCTTGATAGCAAAACGTGAGCTTTGCTCTTATATATTGTATTACGAGCCCAGTTTTTTCGACACCGAGGGCCAGTATCATATTATGACACTTTCCATTTGGATCCTTACCGCTCTGTTGAACCCTAAAGTTGTTCATATCCCCCTAAACCCCATACCCATTTTCCCTCACCCAGCCCCCAAATTCGGCATGGGGTTTAGGGATAGAATTTGGGGTACAACAGAGCACCTTTGGGGCTCGGTGTCAAAATATGACACCCAATGTGATGAAAGAACCTTTTAATTTAAGTTAATGAAGAAAAGTTCACCTCTCCTGCATTTACTGTGAGAACATGGGGGGTGAAACTAACTCCGGCCGACCCTGTAAATGAAATCCATTAAAGATTCTAACTTTGGAACAAAATCTCTAAAATTGATTCAAATAAACAAGAAATGGGAAGGAGATATACCTAGAGGATCTTGTTTCTGTTTCTTCACGGAACCCGGAGGCCTCCCTTTAAATTTTTTGGTCTGGTTTTCCGACGAAGTACCAATGCCGGCGCCGGAATCGGAATGGCCGACAACAGAGTGAACAGGGGCAGGCGAAAGGCCCAGTGCAATGCTACTCTCGGGAGAGAACTTTCTGGGCCGGCCTCTCTTTTTCTTGACGGGCTCAACGGGGAAGCCGGGAGAGGAAGAAGCCCTAGGAGGAGAAGAGCCGCCGCCGTCGGAGTAATCCGGAGGCTTCGGAGCCATACCCGACCCGACCGAGGAATTGAAGGGGAGCCGTACGCCCTGCTGCTGCTGCTGCTGCTGCATAATGGCGGCGGCTGCGTTGTAGTTGGGATGATGGGGCGGGCAGGCCATGATGGGGTGGCCGGGGGAGCGGCGGTGCTGGGGGTCCTGGAAATGGGACTGCGGCGGCGGGTGGTGGTGGAGGTGGTTGGGTAGAGAGGAGGGTTGGGAATCCTGATGAGAACCCATTTTCGTACCAGTGCTTGGGAAACCTAACAGAGAGAGAGAGAGAGAGAGTAGAGTGTGAAATGAGATTACAGTGTAAAAGGAAAGAAGAAAAGCATAAGAGAGAGAGAGAGAGATCCAATTCGGATTTGTAAAGGAGGGGTTTTGTTTTGACAACCAAACAAAAATTTGTTGGTTCAGAATAGAGAGACTACTTATTGGTCCAAAATTCCAAAATTGGATGAAATTAAATCTCTGAACAAGATTGAAATCTCGTTTGTTAAAAAAAAAAAATCTCATTTTTAGGGAAATAGACCTAAATACATTTAGTCCTAGATTTAGCTAGAGTTAAAATTAAGAGAACTTTTATTACTGGCTAAATGGGTCGTTACGGGTCAGATTAGCCATGATTTATAATCATTTTAATTCCAATCTTGTTTTATAGAAATATGTCGAAATGATTTGGACACATCATTATCTTACTTTGTCTCTTTCGTTCTGATGAATATATCAAAACACTTACTGTTTATAAATTAAATACTCCGTATTTGTTAATAGAAGCAAAATGACTTAAATGATTAATAAGTTATTTAGAAATATTTTTATAAAAGTGAGTAATAATTTTGAAATAATTTAGTCTAAATAGAGAAATAAAAAAATTAACCTAAAATAAATATGTACGAGTAAAATATATTTTACTTTTTTTTAGTTTATGAAAAAAAAGGGAATAACAAAATTTTACTTGCGAACACGGGTACTTTTTTAAATCAAAACGCTGCTCATTTTGACTTGACTCTTTATCTGCCGGCAACGACTCGCCCGCCGTTCCTTCATCCCGTCGCCGACGGCGGAGACCAGAGTTTTTCCCCCGGTTTTCTACTCTCCGCCTACAATTATTTCTTTCATTAGCTCTCATATACTCCCTACATGTGTTGGTAGACAGAGATAAAGATAGATAGAGATGGGATTGTTCAAAAGAATCGTCGGATTTCTAGGGTTTGCGAAGGATGAAGCTCAAGAACTCAACGAAGAAAACGGAGACGCGGACAAAGTTTCCCCCGAGGCCGTGGAGACCGCGGCGGCGCGAGCTCAACATCTGCCGCGCAAAGGCTTCAGTATTCCAATTCAAGTCCCAGTCGAAAAACCTCCTCCCCCTGGACCTATACTTTTCCCTTGCACTGCTGGCGATGGAGGCATTCAGGTAAATCTGAATAGATAACTTTCATTTGAAGCTTCTTATGGTTTTGTTGTTCTATTAGCGCATGAATGAGTAGTATAAGTCTATAATGCCGGTATTATATTGAATTCAATAATTGAATTGCACTTCTGGAGGGTGATTTCGACAAACACTAGTGAGAATAATTTGCCTAAATGTCATTCTAGGAGCTCAGAGATGTCAAATGCACGAACATGCCCGACACATGTAGATTATAGTACCTAAATCAGCACTAAGCTTGTATACGATTGATGGAGTTTCTGGAAGATTGGAAGCCATGAGATGAATAGTTAATGGACTAATGGTGATATGATACTCCATAGAGGATACTTCATAGATAATTAGATGTGATGTGTATTCCATCCTAAAGAGGAATTGATAGTTGCAGCTGACGGGTACCGTGAGAAGCTATTAGGGTTTGGTTAGGCCTTCAAGAAGAGTTCATATTTTTGAGCTATTTTTAGAGAGTCATTTTTTTTTACTAAATATCATTCTAGGAGCTCAGAGATGTCAAATGCACCTCAGAATCCATTTTGAGTTTGTCTCAACAAACTATTTCCAGGAGCTTATTGCATTATGGTACAAACAGATTTTATACCTTCGTCAAATTACATGTAAGATGCAATTGAGATTCTTGAAGGTGCCTATTGTAAGGAAAAGCACCACAGGGGAAGAAGATTTCACAGAAGAACATTGAGGAGAAGAGAACATTTGACAAGAGTAGAAAGATAATAAGGAAAATTTCAAGAAACAGAAGTAGATAGTTCACTTACCCAAACCAAACATTTTAAGAGAAGTACATGTCCGGTCTAAGTAGACACAACGAAGTGGTAGAGGGAGCAATAGAGAGGGAAAGAATGAGTAACAAGATCACTTAACCTTTATAAATGGAGTGATAGATTAATAAATAAATAAATCAAATGAGCATCGATGAAAATCTAAAAGAAATTCACTGAGTGCCAGTCTATATGTTATCTCTCCTTGTTGTTGATATTTTCTTTCATGGGCTTTGCCAGAGATCAGGAAGGACTGTCACTCACCTCTCTTCTTTTCTCTGAGCAATTGCTCTTGACAATTGAGGAGATAGAAGTTCCATGTTCTCCTATCTGCAGTCTTCTCAATTTGTTTTTCATCGTGCGTGGGGGAGGATTAGTTAGATTTTATTGCATCATATGCATAAAGTAATCAGCACAGAGTATATGTTATATTAAGATAACACAGACAACACATGGTGTTAGCTATCTTTCATACACGGATACGTATGAAAATCTCACAAAGAATAGGCAACATGAATGAATGAATGATGAAGCTTATACTAATTGTATAAGCAGTTTAAAAAAGCAATGGGAACGGAAAGGGTAAGGGAAAATGCTATGAAATTGGGAAGTACATTTCTAGTGACAATGATTAAAGTATGCTTTTATATCCTAAATAGAATGGGATTTTATTAATTAATATAGTCACTCCCCATAGCATTTCCTTACCCTCTTCACTGCCTCTATCTTCTTTTTTCAATGCAGATTTGTGAAATGTTGTTTACCACTTATTCTACAATTGCTAAAAATGTTAACTTTATCCACATAGGGGTTGAGATGGTACGCCAAGCGTCTCAGGGTCGACGAAGATGGAGACGTGGCAGACGAGTTCATCAGTGAGATTCTGCCGCAGAATCTGAGCACCGAAGAGGGGCAAAAGAGACCATTCCCGAGGTTTGAAGCGAAATGCCATACAAGGCAAGCCAAGGTTAGGAACCAGGCGCTCGTTTCACCTGCGGGTAAAGTCCAAGTGTGTGTTGAGCTCCATGGGAGATTGGAGTGGTTCTGAAGCTCATTTATTTACTGCTGGTAAAAGTGGCGAACCCTTCTAATATTTGTATTTTGTGGACACTTTTTCCTTGTGTATAGGACATGTTAGAAATTTGTCAACTCATAAGTGAAATTGAGCCTTTCTTTAGTGCATGATAATTGAATTTTTTCATGGTTCTTGATTTCTACGAAGTACTTTTATTTGTTCCTTCTTGCGTGTCCCTTTAATATGCACATTATTATTCCGTATTTATTTATATTAGAAATTTACCTTTTTTTGTTATCAGGTGGTTTTTTTAAAAAGTATACGGAGTATATAAATATCTCTTCATGTAACTTGGTCATACTTGTATCAACTATATCAGTCAGCTAAATTTGGGACGAGAAAATAACACACACAAAAAAAGACAGTATATAAAATAAAATACTTTCATTGATATTATTAGTAAGATATGAATGTATTTGAGTAATAAAAACAATGCAGCGCCAAATATGGTATCAAACAAACACAAATCAAAATAGAAAAATGGGAATTAAACAGTAGATTAAGACTCAAAAGTGGTAAATTTCGCAATTCAAGATCATACACAGAGACGCGACACAATAGAAGTGAAAATTATCATCTCAATCCATTCACTATAATAATAATCGTCATCATAAAAACATCGTCATCATAAAAACGACACTTATAGAGAACGAAGAGGAGGAATATAGATACAATGTGCATGTCCTTGTTTGCCTATTGGCGTTTTTGCCAAAAACAAAAATGTCATTTTTCGAGCAGAAAATGCTGCTGTTTTGAGAAGCGGTTTGAACGGTTGGAGAGCATTGTATCTCTCTATGCCCAAAGTAACGTCACTACAAGGAAAAACACCATAACCAATGCTAAGCAAAATCCAGATATGGCCAATGAAGCCTGCAAAAAAAACTCCATTTTTAAAGCTCATCAAAATAAGGCTCTGCTTGGGGGCACTTAGGGTCATTCTGCTTAATTTTCTTATCAGCAAATTAGGTAGAGTAAGCAAAATATGTAGCTTTTGACTTGTTTGGCTGAGATGAGTGTTAACAAACACGTTTGCTTTGCGCACATTCAGACAATGTCATTTCAGCCAAAGTGCCTTTACCAAACGGGCCCTAAATAAGCGAATAAAGTTGCAGCATGCCAGCTTAAGAAGAATGCTCAGAGTCTTGGCTCATAACCTTTCCTTGTGACTGAAACCCAAACTTAGCAGTAAACCATGACAATCCCCTGTCCACAAACGGAGCAAGAGCTAGAGCCCTACAGAAAAACATCCGTCCGACATAGAGAGAAGAGTATAAATTTATAAATCAAAAAATATTAAGGGCCCGTTTGGATCCCGGAAAAATAACAAAGAAAGATGATAGGTGGGAAAACATAGAGGACTATTAGAGGGAATGAAATTGTGAGGAAAAATAAAAGGTTAGCTAAAACTCAATAAATCTTAAATCCAAAAGTATTAACGGATTCCAAAAAGTGCCAAAGAAAGGGATAAAGATGCCTTGAAAAGATATATTGTTGTAGTTGGTATTACCTTGGATAATGCAAAGAAAAATGATATACATGTGTTTTGATCCCGAGAAGTGCTAGTGAAAGGGGAAAAGATTCCTTGAAATGATACATTCTTATGATTGGCATTATGTACTTAGCATATTACCATGGAACTGCAAAGAAAAGTGAAATTCGGAGTAAAAGTTTAAGTTTCTGACTCTAAATATATTAGAAATGAATCAACAAATAATATCAGTTTTGACCAAATTGTTAAATAATTCTAATGCGTTTTAGTCTATCTTTGGTTTCACCTCAAATTATCTTCATGTTTTCCTCTCTACTTTCTTTCCCTAGTATTTCCCGTATTCCAAACGGACCCTGAGAATCATAATAAGAAATAAGGAATGTCCATTATTAGATAGCTCACCCTCCTGCTTTAGCAGGTTTCGTGACTTGGCTACCAGCCCACACCATAGCCATTATTTTAAGGAATCTGCAGAAACTTGTTTCTGGTTAGACCTCTCGTACACAATGTAATTCTTGAAAACAAAAAAATTACCTTTTTACAGCAGCACCATAACCCATTTTCCCAGGTGCAGGAGCAACATATAACCTAAATACAATGAATCTCAAATAGGTTTTTAATGAAAACATGCATTAAATAGATTGATAGATAAGTATAGAACATATTTATATATAGTCAAATGGTGGCGAAACTCATAGCCTATGTTTGGAATAGAAAAAATGGCAGGGAAAGGAAAAATGGGCAAGGAAAATAGTTTTTTAATGTTTGATTTAAAGGAAAATCAAATTTGTTTATAACTTTTAATTTGTAAAACATATATGTACATTCTTTTTCTTCATAAAACAGAAACATATATACTAATTGTTTTGAGATTGATTTTTGTATTTGAACCCCCCCCCCAAATCCTCTGCTTTCCTTCTAATTCCTTTTTCTTTCCCTAGCATTTTCTGAATTTCAAACAGATCCATAAG